GTTTTTACCATTGGCAGTTAAACTCAACGCTTTGTTCATATTTTGTGCTCTGTAATTAAGGTCAAAGTTGTTTAAGTCGGGCAGATAGTTGATTCAGTGCGTCATGGACGTTTAATATTTGCTCTAATGTATTTTTTGTGCGTGTCTCTACTTTTCAAGTTGAACTTCTTCAAATGTGTGTGGAAAAAGCACATGCATGAAAAGTTCACGAAGGGAATCGTGAAAAGCTATAATTTGATAACATTTTCAAAATTTAGAGACATCCACATATTTTTTTTTGTTTTCTAAATTGTAAAAAATGTATATGACATTTGCTATTTCTTTTAACAGAAAAGCCAAACCCTTTTCAAATGATTCATTGACAAACAATGAGCAATTTGCAGCAGCCATGTAGAAAATTAATCGACGAGACGGTTGTGCTTGCAGAGGACCAAATTTATTGAATTTTCTGTTTAGAAAGAGCTATTGAACAGCAAGTCATCGTCTGCAATTGCTAATGGCAACTGACGAATGAGTTAATGTGCGCCTTGCTAGTGAGAGCGTACTATTTGAAACTCTCGGTCGATTTTGTTGTGTGGCCCAGCATTACGATTCTTAAACGACGCGCTCTATTGGCGTGCAAAGCTGTCACTTGCAGGTATTTGTAGCAATAGTAATTGAGGACAATTAAATTTAAGAAGACCCTGAAGCTATTGGGAAATATTGTGACTGCGTCTCCTTGCTTAGACAGCAAAAACGTTTCTGATAATAAAGCAGGAATATATATACATACAATGAAATTGTAACAGGCCGATGTCTACACATTATAGATATGAAAGAAAAATTAATATGGGGAGCCTTTATCAGAGCATCAGCAGCCAAAAAAATTTTTGTAGAATTTTTGTCTGTCTGTCATACAGAAGTATGTTTGTACGCGCATCACTCGAAAACTAATATATAGAATTGATTGTGGATTTCATCGATATATTTCTAGAGGCCTAACTTAATATATAGAGAGAAAAATAAAATTAGAGCGTTGCCACCTGTTTGAAAATTGCAGTTTAAGTAAATTGATAAGATATAGTAAATATTGCAATATGGCAGCCAAATGAAAGAGGTTTAAGAAGGCTTACAGCCGAAACAATTTTTGTGGTAGGTTGCCACCTATTTGAAATTTTTAATTTAATTTAATTAATAAGATAAATTGAATATTGCAATATGGGTATCAAACTGAAAGGTTTAGTAAAGTTTACTGCCGGAAATATTTTTTAGGATGGTTGCCACCTGTTTGAAAAATTGTATAAAATTAAATTGATAAAATAAATGAAATATTACAATACGAGTATCAAACAGTACAAAAATACCTTTTAGGAGCAGTGAAGCACGCCTGGTATTTGCTCGTTATATAATAAATAAGTTTTACAACATTAGCAGAAATATTAAGCAATTAGCAAATCTTAGCGGTAGTGAGTGTTTAGAGCGGTGGTTTCGAGTTTGTCGACCCTTCAATCTGGAAAGTGTGTATTTGAGAGAATATACAACTATATACTTCCCAACCGACAAAATCCATGAACCACCTAAGCTCTTTATAAATATATGTTTACTGCCAACGGGCAGGCGAGGACCCTACTTAAATGCATATATCTTACAATACTTTTCATAAGAGTAACAGAAAGATGTTTTGGGTAAAATATGTGGATGTAAAAAGAAATCTGTTTTTAGCAAAAAATTTCAATACAGACAGATTTTGGCAGTATGCCTTTGCGTATACGCCGCGTAGACCCCAGAGCAGCAATACGATTTACAACAACGCTGGAAACAGTGAAAAGACTCTCAGCGAGAATATGGTAAGTAACGGGTGATTTTTTAAGAGCTTGATAACTTTTTTTTAAAAAAAAACGCATAAAATTTGCAAAATCTCATCGGTTC